AAATGAATGAATAAAAAAATTGAAAATTTGAAATTGAAGTTGACTTTTCTTATGCGTATGCTTGCAGTGAACATTTTAGCCACCTCCATCTGTTTCTTTACAAGTTTTCATTCTAAAGAGGAGTGTCATTCTCTAACGCCATCTTTTCAGAGCTACAAAAAATATATAAATACTGATTCAATGCAGGTGTGTGCTAATGATTTATTATTAGTATATTATACACATGTCCGCTATCTGGGTAGGCTATATCAGTAATCTAAACCTTTTTTATACTGCACACGCAGTCAAAGGTTGAGATTCGGGCTGATTTTTTTGTGGTTGGGCGGGTTTGACGTTGCGTTTGGGTTCGAAACTGTCAACCTGGCAACCCCTGTTCATATTATTGATAACAACATTCTACATGTATGCAGCTATAGAACAAAAGTTCTGTTATTTTGTCTTTTTGTTTAATTTGCCATGTCCTGGATGATCTACAGCAACACAAAAATGTCGTCGCACAGCATCAATGGGGTCGATACTTGAGTTTGTTTCCAAAAGTACAATTCTGCACCTGGGTAGATGGGAAACGGAAAAATCTAATGTAAACACTGACTGAAACAATCTTGTCAGGTAATATTTTAACCAGTTCTGATTCAGAAAGGATGCACACATGCTACATATTATGTAGCATCCATATTTACTTCTGGAAACACAAAGTTCTGTGTTTACAGGAAGTGATAGTTTATGAACAAACTAACAAACAGAAGCTACTTAGGACCTCCATCACAGTCTGATCCATGAATCAAATGACAACTGTCAAACATCAGCTAAAATTGTTAACAGCAGCTAAAGCGCTAACAGCAGCTARGTACACAGGTGTTCTGCTAAAATACAGAACCGCTTCATGAAAACCTCAGTCTGATTACAGACATTGTGGACCTGCGTGCAGCAACATTTACGCGACTGCACAAACTGCAGCTTTGCTGTCTCTAAATCTTTACTGGGTCACATTTTTATGCATGCATGATGTGCTGCAGTGCAGACATGGAACACAACTCTTTTCCTGAACGGAGGAGAGTAAAGGGGGAAGATGTGTGCGTTTGAACAGTGAAAACTCCTCTGTCAGGTTCCCAAACAGCTCCAGCAGCTCGGCCGTTTGTCACTTCAGCAGCAGCAGGAGCAGGGRCTTACTGGGACAAAGTGAGGACTCCCGTGGGAATGGTAGAATACTAGAGTCATGATTTTTATTTAATTGTTTTCTTTTTTTTCCCTCCCACATCAGTAGAGGAACAATAAAGGTTTATTACAGTAGCTGTTTCTGAAAGAACATAGTGGACTGAAAAGATTTATGGAGCATTTTCAGCACTTAAAATGACCACATTAAAACCGCCTGGGCAGAATTCAGCTGTCATGTTGAATTTGCACCCAGTCATACAGAAACATTGTATCAATCCAGCAGCAGGTCCAGATCTGACACATGCAGGCCAAACAGGAGACACCTGACTGGCACAGATACTGGTCTACACCAAAATCAGCCGGATCAGATGGCTTCTTATGTCATTGATTTATTGATTTTTACAGGGATGCATCGATCACGAGCTGCTGATCATGTGGGTGTGGACGACGCGAACTCCTAATAATCCAGTAGCAATGAATGAAAGGCGCCGTGATGCTGAGCACACAAGCAGACAGGGAGGCAGCTTCATTCACACCCATGATGCTGATGGCAGCACCTGAGTCCCACCCTGACAAATACAGAAACGGGGGGCGACAACCTGGTGCCTTGTTCCTGATTTTATATACGTTTTTTTTTTTTTCGCAGCTCTGCTTCCTCTCCGGACAGAACTCCCAGTTAAATGTCGCAAACATCAACCCACAGGAGGAGCGGCGTCCGCGTCAAGCAAGCAAGGAAGGAAGGAAGGAAGGAAGGGAGCGATGGTTTACGAACATGCACGCGACCGAGATCAGACAGGAAATAAGGATGGAGGGGTTAAAGATGAAGAAACGCGCAGCATTTTACTCACCTCACAGTCTTCTCCCCATTTTTATTTATTTATTATTAATTTTTTTTTCCCTGGTTTCTCCTCCAATCACCGAGCCGCCGGAGCCGCCAGTGACGTCACGCAGCCCCTCTCTGCTGCAGCAGAGAGAGCGGCTGCAGGCCTGCAGAGGAGCAGGAGGAGGACGACGAGGAGGAAGAGGGGTGGGGACCAAACCARAGCAAGGAGGAGGAAGAGGAGGAGACGGGCACGAGGGAGGACTTAAAAAAAAAGCTGGTCCTGCACGAGCTGCTGTGGCACGAGGAGGGTCGGACAGAGAAACTCCTTCACGAGCAGTTAAAATAATCTGCTTCTCCTTGCTGCACGTTTTCCTCCATGAATCAATTAAAGTGATAGTTCAGATCTTTTGAAGTGCGGCTCTAGCAACCCATATTATCGTTTCATCCTTTTATTTCTAACTTTGTATTTTTAAAACACTCCATAAAATAAAATAAAAAATGTATAGGTCCTCTGGAC